TACACAAATGAACTTTTAGAAGTCGCAACTCAAAAATATTGAAGAACTATAATGATCATGTGAAAATTAATTATAAAATATTATTTGATAACTAACACTATTAAAAAGTGGGAAAAAAAACACAATGATGGTAAACTGTATACAAACATTTCATGTGATACTGTAAATCATTAAATCGTGAAATATCATATGAGAAATATAAATAATTTATTTTTAATTAATTTTATTTTATTATTTAAAAAGTAATGCACTAATGCAATGAACCTAATTACTAATGCGGATTGATTTTTTAAATTCATTTTATGTAAACAATGTAATTCAATTTTTTCAAATCGATTATAGTTTTTTTTTATAAATAGTATGATTTTCTTTCAAATTTAAACCGGTTCGTTTAATTTTTTCCACACCCCTATAATCAATGTATTTAGTCATACTTCCAACTTCCAAGAAAGTAACTCCATAAATTATTGAGAATGACATATGTAACATGGTTAAGGACGGAAATAGGTCCTCCGTATGGTGAAAACAAATCAACATATAATGAGATATTGAGTTTTCATATACTAAGCCAGATTAAAAATCAAACAGATTAGCCAAAGCTAAGAGCACCCCACGTATCACTTTTTTCCCTAACTGACAGTTTTGGCCAATTAAAGTAAAATTAAGTAAAAATTTGATATATTTATAGAGTTAATCACCTATATATTGCCGGTGTAAAGTTTTTTTATACTGGTAACCAATTATATATTTTAATTGTGTCATATTACTATAAATACATTTACTTTTAATAGTGACATGACACAATTAAAAGATATAATTGATTGTCAATGTAAAAAAACTTTACACTGTATATAGATGATTAATTCATATTTATATATGTGATGAGTCTTATACATGAAGCAATGAAAGTAAGAAGGTTTGTGTCTCCCTCATAATGCTAACTACCGCAATACAAGGCCCCTCTCCCTAATGAGAGAGAAAGAGAGAAGGGAAGGAGTGACGAAACACTTAAATGACATTCTATGAACAAAAAAGAAAGATTCCAAATGGATAGGAAACAAGTTGTGCCCTCTCAAAACAAGAAAGGAAGAAGCCACATAAAATACAAAATATAGGGCCATAGCTAGCTAGGGTTCAACAAGGGAAGTAATTGACAGGTGTCTTTTTTAGGTATATGGTAAGACAATGTACCATTCATCTTAGCCTCTCTCCATACCATGTCTATGGCAAATTGGGCTAACCATTAAGCCTATCTAGCTGTTGTGAAGGCCACCCATGTGATCTGAATGAGGGGAAAAAAATACTAGTACTATTAATTTAACTGTTACTAGACTATAATAAGAAGAAAAGGGTCCACTATGCCATCAATTGCCTCCCCTCCATGGAAGAACAGGGGATGAGACTTTGAATTGTGCTTCACCCAGACTGAATATGATGATAAGTATCGAAAGATCTTAGTATAAATCATTCAATCATTTTTATTTATTAATCAAAATTCAGATTCTATGTTTAATTTAGATAAAGTTGCCATTAAATTTACTACTTTCTTTATACCTCTTTGTTATTAAAAAAAAAAAATTCTTTGCTTTTAGTTTCTTTCAAGGACAAGAAATAAGGACACCGATCCACGCAAGTTGGAAAGGAGCTTCATGACATTACACTTTCCGCTTCTTTTGTTTTCTTTTTCAATTGATTGCTAAAAGATAAAATAAAATTGCTATCTTATGCATCAAATGCATCAAATATGGGGCATAGTGCCATTCTTTCAGATAATGTTTCCTAGTTTCTCCAATTCTGAACCCTTTCAAAAGATTTACTTATTTATTTTAATTTGATCCACCATTTCTAATCCAATGGAAACGTATGCTACTAATTGTTGAATACGGATGTCGTAAATCCACGGTCTTTCTCAACATTATATTCAAAACCTATTATTGCTTCCTCGATTATAGGTCGTTGAATCTAAGCTTAATTAATGGCCTTTTCATGGAAAAATGTTATTTGAAACATGAATGATTTTGTACAAATGAATTATTCATTTGGCCTAATTATGAGTCATACTTTCTATTCCTCAATCATTCATTTCTATGTTTCTTTCTTTGATACTTTTCATATGTAAAGGGTGGGATATATCATATGAATCTTGTTACAATATATTTTCACCAATTAGAAGAAAAACCTTCCTATGGAATAAAGCTTTCTCAAGCAAAACAAACTTCTGATAACAAGTTACCATGGACCTATATATTAACAAAATGTGATGTGATTGATAAATACTTAATTATTTAATCAAAGATTTGATACCTAAATTGTGTATATGAAAATTAAAAACATAAAACTTAATTGATGATTAAGATATGAAAATAGAAGATAAATGATGGGATAATAGCTAGCAGGGGAAAAAATGAGTACGAAAAGATCTTAATAATTATCTTATTTAGTGTTTGATATATGAGATATACAATAGATAATAATTAAATTATATGTAAAATCAAAAAATTATTCTCAAGAAGAATGTTACATACACTATTTTTTAATATATTTTTATTAGTTAAACTTTATTAAAAATATAAAATTATGTGGATTTTACATCTTATTTAAAAAATTTCTTTGATTTTGTGAGTTTCAAAAAAGTTAATCACTAAAAAAATGTGTGTTTGAAAGAGTACGTTAGAGTGTCAAAATAAATAAATAACTATATGAAAATACTTTTATATTAATTAAAAGTATATTTTCATTTCTATTAATATAAGTAATAATTATTTATTTATTCTAATTTTCGTTATTTTTCTTTCTTTTTCTTTTTTTACTCTCAATTTTACTTCTATTAAATAAACATAAAAGAAAAAAAATATATATAT